ACAGGCTGTAAATGCAGGTAATGGAGCAGAGAAGCAGAACTGTACTGCAAGGAGCAGTGAGTGCTTGTGTATCATAATGCATTTTGAGTCAACTTCCCGTTTTCTTGCTCCTTTGATTTCTTTTCTTTAATTCTTTGGATGCCAAACAGCTCCCCATATCGAAGATTTGGTGATGCTCCCCACGCCTGTGCTGAGGCTGCTAAATGTTCTAAGTGATGCTTCTCTGCAGTGCGAAGAAGAATATGAAGGTTGGTGCAAGCCATGCAATTCCCATGTAGCAATGTTGTCTTACAGACTCTGTTTTGTTTGCCTCTGGGGATGTGAGAGCAAGCAGGTGAGCAATTAATAGGCTCAAGAACAGTAAATAAAGAGCTGCTCGGCTGAGATTTGGTACCAAGTGGTTCAACTGCACCAATGGAGAATAGACTAAGAGACTGAGAGAGAAAGCAGAGATTGTAGGAATTTCTTGAAGGATCCCAAATTTAAAAACAAACAAACAAACAGTTTATTTTTATTTTCTTCTTTGTTTAAATGCCTGTAGACTTCATTGTGTGTTTGTAGCTCTGAGCTTCCACTGGACATGTACAGGACTCTGGAGTTCAGTAGCACACATCCTTAAAAAATTGCTAACGAACTTATCCAAGATCTCAGCAGAGAACTGAAATATCTCATTGGAGTTCTTAAACTGTGGTAGATGGCCAGGCATGTTGGTGGAATTTGCATTTCTGCTTGCTGTCAAATCCATGTGAGTGGCAAAAGCTAGAGAGCTCTGGGAATACAAGTTTAAAGGCCAGGTTCTGTTCACACAAAGAAGGGCTTGTGGCAGCTACTTTAGTTCCCCTCCTCGCAGTGCCATAGCAGGCACTCGTAAATCCCAAATGTTTTAGCTACTGGAAGGCCAGTCTTTGTGTGCAAGGAAGAGTTCATGTGCTTCAAACCCTGCTCATGGAGGTTCACTGCCTGCAGGTCTGTGTTCCTGAGCCTCAGTTCAGACACTTCCATCTCATTACGTGGCCATTAAGCAGCATAAGCTTCTGCTGTGGCACTTCATGCTTGTTTACTTTAAATTGAAAAGAAAAAGCTATGTGTTGACTAAGTGTTCTTGATGTGTTATCTTGCCTTCGTTTGTTTCTTGGCTCGTCCTGGTTTGCAAGTGAAAGACAACCAACTCTTTCCTTTCTCAGATATCCTGGAAGACATAAGGGAGGAGTGTCAGAAATATGGACCGGTGGTTTCCTTGCTTATTCCAAAGGAGAATCCTGGTAAAGGCCAAGTAAGTGAACGGAGGGAAGAGGCTGTGTATTCTTACGTGCACTCCATGTGCTGCAGGACTGCTGCTCAGTGCCTGGAAATCTCTTGGCTGATGGAAGTGCTAAAAATAAATGGCTATTTTGAAGAACAGCACAGGTTCCTTCCTAGTTACATAAGGTTGCCCAAACAGCTTTAGCAGGGGGGCTGGGATATGGGATGGAAGTATAGAAGCTAATGGGTGGGAGAGGAAATGTTGAGGATGTAGAGCATTATCATACTTTCTCTCACCTTACCAAATGAGGAGTAGGAGATGAAATTCCAATTCAGAGAAGCAGCTCTTTCCTTTTTAGCTTCAGTGCTCTGTGCTCAGCCAAGGATGGAGGGGAAGAATTTGTTCAGGAATGGTTTTCCCAGCTGCGGGGTGGGAGGGGGTGAGTGGCATGGAGCACTGGAAGTCCTGTTTCTCCTCTCTCTCTTTCAGGTCTTTGTTGAATATGCAAATGCTGGTGATTCCAAAGCTGCCCAAAAAATGCTGACTGGAAAGATTTTTGATGGCAAGTTTGTTGTGGCTACGTTTTACCCACTGAGTGCCTATAAGAGAGGATATCTGTACCAAAACTTGCTGTAGGCAGTAGCAACAATCAGGAGAGTTGTCTTGCTCCTCTTCCTCACGTGTTTTAAAGTTGAATGTGCAAAAGATCTTCCTAGCCCTGCTTTCGAGTCATCTGTGAAGGAGAGATGCGAAGGACTTGAATGGGCTTTGAAACCTTTACTGCTGCTTTGTGATGTGCCGAGGAGGCCGGGATGGCTTTCAGCGTGTGCCTGTGTGTGTGTTGTGCTTGCTCATGTGCAGGGGGTGTGTGGCTCTGCCCTGGTGGGCGCTCGCATGGCAGGGGCGGTGACGGTGGGAGCCCGGCAGGCCGAGCAGACCTTGGCAACCTCTCTTCAGCGATTTGCAGTGAGACCAAAGTCTTGGCCTTAGCACTGGACTTGGCTCTAGGGAGAGAGTTTCTCTGTTAAGCTTTCCTATAACTCCAGTGCTGGGGAGGAAGAAGAGGAGGAAGGCTTCCCCGCTTTTTGTTGATACCTGTAATAAATAAAGAAGCAAAACCAGCATCCTCTCTAAAACAGACCAGGAGGACTTTTGAGTCTTCTCATCACGTAGAGCAGAGGGAGGCTGTGAAATCGGATCTGCTGAGCCTATGGGGTTGCCCTGTCACCGTGAGCCAAGCAGAGTCATCCAACTGACCTGGCACAGACATCTGTGCTGAGGCAATGAGATGTGGGTGACAATGCCTGTGGGGAGCTGAGCTTGCTTGTATGCCTGGAGTGGGCCGGGACTGGTGGTGGATAGCAGGTCAGAGCAGTGGCAGCCTCAGTCCCCACACAACCTGTAAGCACTTTGTAGCCTGAGGTGATGTGAAAACCCTGCCATGTGGAGTCATCTTTCTAGCACATACCCTGTGCTGGCACTGATGCTCCCTAGCTCTGATGCCAAATCATCTGTAATACATAAGCATCTTTAGGTGATGTTTTTGGAAAGGAGTGCTACAGCACGCAGTATTCTTTGTGTCTCAGCAGGACTCCTGCCCTTCCAGTCTTATAAGAACAAATATTTGTCTGTTGTAGGTCCCATGCTTGGCTTTTCTGTGATGTGCGTTTTGGTTTTGCATTAACCCATTAGACTTGTAGATTAGAAGCACTGACACTTTTGGTCCTTCATAGGTTACACAAAGGGCCTGAGGCAATCTGAGATCCTGTATGGAAAGGGCTTAATCAGTCATCAGACTTGACTGGCCAGGAGAAGGTCTTTCCCACTGTCAGGGACAACAGCCATGTGCTTTTGGGGAAAAAGCACTGGGCCAGCAGCATCGCTGCTCCCCCCAGAGCACGCTTTGGTCATGTGGCTGCAGTGCTCAGGCAGACACTGCACAGCTGCTGGTGTGGGGTTGGCAGTGACTTGTTTCCCAGGGGTGTCCAAACCTGTAACCCAGCAGAGCCTTTCCCTGCAGGGTAGGCACTTTGCTCCTGATGAGCACAGGGTGAAACAGCCCTGCTTAGAGGGTGACCAGCTTGTGGCTGGTGGTGGCTTGTGACCCTGGTACCAGTTTTAGTGAGGAGGAGAGCCCTCCTGAATTCTTTTCTCCAGCTGAAATACTTGTGGGCAGCTGCCTGAACCATCCTTGACCTTCCTTGGAATAATACCTGAATTACCTTGCAGTTTACTGTTTGCATCTTGCAGATGCTGGACTTGCTGGAATCCTGCACTTAAAAGTTCCTGTTGATTTTTTGCCCTGTGTGTGGTGTGTCAGAAGATCCAATGTCTGTAGCATTTCACAAGTCTGAGTTTCCTCTCTGTGCTGGTGTGTAGTCCTGTCTACTGTGGCCCTTCCCAAACTCCCCCTGAAAGGACCAATCTCTGAATTCTTCTATTGCCTTTGAGATGGTGGGCTTGCCAGGGAAAAAAAAAAAATGCCACAATGAGTTTTAAGGTGTGATTTGCCGATCACATTTTTCTGGGAATGATGCTATTTTGGTGTACATAGCTGTTAACCAGCTTTGGGGTGTGTGATTCATTGCTTTTAATTTAACTGCCCTTGCAGTGAAGCACCTTTTAGTGTCTGGGAGGAACTGGATGATTAACTGGGTGAGGCTTTTTCCTATGTGAAGAGCAGTGTTTAAAGTATTGGTAGGCATTGACTGACTGCCTCAGCTCTGCGTTGTTGCTGTCCCTGAGGGGCTGAGCCAGGGGTCAAAGCACTTTGGCCCAGACTTACACATGTTGAATGCCATCGTGTCAGCAGCATTAAGCTGGCAGGAACAAACCTGAGAGTTCCTGCCCTGCTGAGTGCCACCCACGTGGGGACACAGGGAGCTCCCCTGGGTGCTGTCACCTACAGCAGTACCAGGACAGGGAGATGTTGAGGTGCAGGTGCAGAACTTGAATGTGTTTTAAGTTCTCACATGCATTTCTCTAGGACCGTGAGCTGCTCTGTCATCTTTCAAGCATATCTTTTTCAGTCAGAATTATGCTTTGGGATTTTCAACAAAAGAGCTGTGCCAGGATTAATCTTTAGAGAGGAGCTACAGCCTGTTCCTGCAGCATGGTAGAGCTCCTCCACTAGAGTTTGCATGGGGTTTTGTTCAGCTGCTTTAATAAGACCTACATGAATCCTCCGGATGCAAACTTCTGCTATCAGGTCTTTTTCTCCCGATGTTCATTGACCAGGCTTGAGCACTGAGCTGGGCAAAAAACCCAGAGCTGCTTTTCATTTTCCTTCTGGCGAGAGCTGAAGATGCTGATCTCTGTCCTGTCACTGGATCCACCCCTCTGCAGGCTGTGGGGTACAGGGAGATTTCGATGCATTTCGTTGTTATTCCTCACCCTCTGCCTTCAAAGACTTTCTCCCAAGATGAGGCTTACTCTGGTGTCTCAGCAACCTAGTGGTGGCTTGGCTAAAACCTGTGAGTTTCTTAACTCTAGATTGTATCTCAAGTGTGAGTGGTGATTCAGTCCAAGGTGTCTGTCGTGGCATGTGCCTGGATGGGCCTGGCTTTCCTTGTCTCTAGATTACTGCCTGCTTGAAGTGCAGAAGTGTTGAGGCTTTCCACTCAGATGCTTGCTGGGTTTCCTGGTTTGTGCTGCTCCCTCTCACTAGCCCTTGGTGTAGCACCGACCTATGTAGTCCTACCTTAGTCGTAGGGTAACTGGTGTTTAAGTCACTGGCCAAAGCACAAATCAGCTCTGATTTTAGCTGTATTCCTAATTTTATTCTCACTGGTCTTCAGCCTCCTAACAACATAGCCTAACAACGGGCACCATGTTGCACCCGGGTTGTCTTTCCAGAGGGTTCAGTACACTTCCTCCTGCTGTGCTGGATCCTGTAACCACGTGCCTCCCTTTGGGTTAGATGTCAACTGTTGTATCTCATCATGCACCCTTGCTGAGCAGATGTGTGCTTGATACAGGTGATTAATAAACGATGCTTCAGTAGGAAGTGGTTGTGCAGTGTGCTGTTCTTGTGGCACTGATGGTGAAAAAACACGTAGCTGAGCAAGTTCTCTGTCACCGTGTGCCAGTCTGGGGGGACAGGGCTGTGACCTGGCCGTGGTGGTGGTATTTATGTTTGGCTGTTGGAACTTACCTTGTGCACCAGCAGGGCTGAAAACCCGGGTGGGAGCGCCGGGGTGACCTCTGCCTGGCCAGAGTCCAGCGTGTCCCCTCCCAGTCACTGGAGGCTCTGCTTGCGGCAGCACCGCCTACGGACACCTCACACGGGCGTGTTCCTCGCTCGCTCTGGCATAAGGGCTTCCGATGTCATCCAGGGGGGAAACCACTCCGTGACGCAGGAGCCTTCCCGGGAGATGATGCGGGTTGCACAAGGTCCCGCAGCCGCCGGGGGGGCCGCGTGGGCGGTTCTGTGGCTGCGGCCGCGCTGGCACAGCCCCGGGGCCGTGTCGCAGCATCGGGCCCGGCAGAGCTCGGGAAGCGCTGGGACAACGCTCTCGGGTACACGGTGCGACTCTTGGGGAGGGTCCCGTGCGGGGCTGAGGGTCGGACTGATGGTCCCGGTGGGTCCCTTCCAACTCGGGATGTTCTGAGTCTGTGACACCACGCGCCCTCTGAATAACGGGACGAGCGGTGTCTCACCGATCCTGGACCGGCAAGGTTCCCGGCTGAGGGGGCTGTTCCTGCGGGGCTCCTCCTCCGCAGGGACTCGCACGCGGATTTTCGGGTGGATTTGGGTTTTTTCCTTACGGGCCCCTCCCCTCCGGCCCGGCCGGGGCCGTGCGCTGACGTGGCGCGCGTTGCCATGGCAGCCTCCGGCGCGCGCCCCCGCAGCGGCCGCTCCCATTGGCGGCGGCGCCGCGAGGGGGTCGGGCCGTCCTGCCCCCTCCCCCGGCGCCTATTGGGCGGGCGGCGGGCACCACGTGGCGCGGGGCGCGGCCATTGGCGGCACGGCGGCGGCGTGGAGCTATAAAATGCCGGCGGGGGCGCGTCGGCCCCGCGGCGGCGGCGGGCGGGATGGAGGCCACGGACGGGATGGAGGCGGCGGACGCGGCGGCGCTGCAGGAGCGGCTGGAGGCGGGCGGGCAGGGCCATGTGCTGCGCTTCTGGCAGGAGCTGGGCGACGCGGACCGCCGGGCGCTGGCGGCCGAGCTGCGCGGCATGGACGTGGCCGAGATCAACCGCTTCTTCCGCCGCGCCCGCGGGGACGGCGGCGGCGAAGCGGCGGCGGCGCTTGACGCGCGGATGGAGCCGGTGCCGCGGGACGTGCTGGGCAGCGCCAGCCGCGACCGCGGGCTGGTGCCGCGCTGGGAGAGCCGCGGTAGGTGGCGGGGGCGGCGGGGCCCGGCGCGGCGCGGTGCCGGAGCCGCCGGCCCCACGCGTGTGTGCTCCCCCAGGGCTGGCGGAGATCGCGGGAAGCCGTGTGGCCGCGCTGCTGCTGGCCGGCGGGCAGGGCACCCGCCTCGGCGTCCCCTACCCCAAGGGCATGTGCGACGTGGGGCTGCCCTCCCGCAAGACCCTCTTCCACCTCCAGGCCCAGCGCCTGCGGCGGCTGCAGCAGCTGGCGGAGGAGCAGCACGGCACCCCCTGCCATATCCCCTGGTGAGCTCTGGCCCCGGGTGGCCTCTGGGGAACCGGGAGGTGTCGGCAGGATCCCGTTGGCGCTGATGGGCTGGTGTAGCCCTGTGGGTGTCAGCAGCCCGAGATCCCCCGGATTGGTGCAGTTCCCCTTCCCAGCCCCTGGGCTGATGCAGAGCCCCTTGGCCGCCCAGGAACAATGGGTTGGCGCAGCTCCTCTTGATACTAGTGCTATTGCTATGGGCATATCCCTTTGGAGTTAGTGGTTCCAGGCTCAGTGAGTGGCACTGACAGGTCCCACGTTGTCAAACTCAGCCCCGTGGCCCTTGGGAAGGTCTGTCATGTCCCCATATGGGACAGCAGCCATGCAAAGCAGGGGTCTAGGCAGCAAGGGACAGCCGTGGTGCTGTGAGCAGGAGGTTGGTGTCAAGGAAGAAGCTGCTACTGGTGTCCCCTGCACTGTGCAGGGTATTTTATGGTTTTGGAGATACATGTTGCAAGGAAGAGTGAAGCTCTTCATTGGCTTGCCAAAGTGGTGGCAAGCCACCATCTGACAGCAGGTCAGATCCTCCTAAACATGGAGAGGGCTGTTCCTACATTTGGGATGAGGGGTGTGAGACCCTGCCTCTCCTCCTTGCTCATTGGGGGTCTCCTGCTCTGCAACAGGTACATCATGACAAGTGGCCGCACTATGGAGTCCACCAAGGAATTCTTCCAGAAGCATTGTTATTTTGGCTTGAAGAAGGAAAACATCATCTTCTTCCAGCAGGGCATGCTGCCTGCCCTGGGGTTCGATGGGAAAATCCTGTTGGAGGAGAAGGGCAAGATTGCTATGGCACCAGGTTAGTGGTGGGAGCTGATGGGAGGGGCGCACAGGGGCGAGATGCGGTGCTGAGGACAAGCTTTTGGAGCTGGAGTCGTGCAGTGTGACGTGGCTGACGGGTGATGCAGGCTGAGAGGTGTCTGTCTTGGGAGGGAGGACCAGGGTGGGGTATGGCTGGGCTGACAACCCTCCACACCATCTCCATGGGGAATGAGGATGAGCGTGGGTGGCTGATGGGACTGCTGGATGTTGCTGCAGCCCCAATAGTTTGTTCTCTTTGCAGATGGCAATGGGGGCCTGTACCGGGCCCTGGGGGCACACGGCATCGTGGAGGACATGGAGCGGAGGGGTGTGCAGAGTGTCCATGTGTACTGCGTGGACAACATCCTGGTGAAGGTGGCTGACCCCAGGTTCATTGGGTTCTGCTTGGAGAAGGGAGCAGACTGTGGGGCTAAGGTACGGTTTTGGGGGCTGGCAGGCACTGCTTCCCTGGAGCCGAGTGGGGTCTGTCCTGCTCCTTGCCTGTCTTCCCTGATTCCTCATCCTTTGTTTTCTGGTTCACCACATTCAGAAGGGATAGCTAAGCACCAGGAGCATAGTGGTGAAGTAGCACATGTTGCCAGTCCTACCTGCCCCTTGGGTAGTCCTGCCTGCCCTTGGCACTGTGGGGGATGTGGGGCATCACTGAGCCCTGCCTGGTGCCGTTCCTCTCCTGTCTTGCACAGGAATGTGGCACTGACAGGCCCAGGGCTCAGAGGTCCCTTAGTGCCTGGGGACAAGAGGCTCCTAGGGAGTCCTGTGGAGCTCCCTGGTTCACACCTGGATGCTGGGCAGCTGTTTTCCAGGTGGCTGTGGGTAGCACAGGTGGACAAGATCCTTGCCATAGTCTGCCAGCTGTCCCCAGGAGTGACATCCTGGGCCACCGGACCAGGATCTGGTGGGTGCAGCTGACACACTGAACCCAGCCCTATGTGTTGTGGATAGGACATTGCATACTCCAAGCTTTACCTAAAGACTGGCTTAACAGCCAAAGAGGCTGTTCTTGTTTACATTGGGCTTGGCTCTGGCAAACAGACAAGAGGACTTACTGGGTCTGAAGCTTTCAGAGAGCAAGCTGAGAAAGGGAAAGCAGTTCCTCCTCCTGGCTTGCACGAGAGAAAGAGGAAATAAGCAGAATGCTCTTTGTCCCTGCATGCCACCCCCCCGTGGTGACAGTGATGGGTAGGGATTTGCTGGGGTAGTCCTGTGCCCAGATGGAGGTATGTGGGTTGTTAGGAAGAGGAGGGAGGTCAAGTGTAGGGGGATGGCTCTGCTGAGCCAGCAGCCTCCTGGTTGTGCACAGCAAGCTGGCTAAAAATATCCATGCCCTCTGCCAGCTGCACATGGGCTTGGTGCCAGATCCTGCCAGCACCCTCTGGGTGTGTCTGACACCCTGTCACCCAGTTCTGCCATCAACCTCCTCTAGTCCCCATTGCCAGAAGTACCTGAGAGGGGAGGGCTCCAGCATCCCTATCCCTGCACTATCCCAGCACAGCAAAAAGCCTTGGCAGGGGATGCTGGGTACGAGGGAGTATATTTGAAGTGCTGGGCTTTGAGTGTCTCTCTGACAGTCCTTCCCTTGGGCAGGTGGTGGAGAAGACCAACCCCACGGAGCCGGTGGGTGTGGTGTGCCGAGTGGATGGTGTGTACCAGGTGGTGGAGTACAGCGAGATCTCCCTGGCCACTGCCCAGAAACGGGGCCCAGACGGGCGGCTGCTCTTCAACGCGGGCAACATCGCCAATCACTACTTCACCACTGCCTTCCTGAAAGATGTAGTCAAGTAAGGGCCTGCTAGGGTGCTGCTGGAGTCCTGCTGCCAAGTGGAGTTGACTGTACCTTGCTTTCTGTTGGCTAAGCTCCAGCTGTTTGCAGGTGTGCTGATATGAGGCCCCTGATATCCAGCCTCTGCACATGTGGCCTGACCCTTGCCTCTCCACACAGTCTCTTCCTTGAGATAAGATTTCTCCTGGCCATAGCTAGATGCAGCTTCCAGAGTGCAGGCATGTGGAGCCGTCCTCTCCTGGCTGCCTGTGCCTCAGAGAGGCTCTCCTGCTGCAGCAGTGTCTGAGATGGAGACGTGGCTTGCTCAGGCAAGTGACATCTCTTTCTTGGCCTGTTGCAGCACTTATGAACCACAACTGCAGCACCATGTAGCTGAGAAGAAGATCCCACATGTGGACATCGCTACAGGGCAGTTAATCCAACCCGAGAAGCCCAATGGGATTAAGATGGAAAAATTCGTCTTTGACATCTTCCAGTTTTCCAAGTATGTCCTTTTCTCTCCACGGGGTTGAACAGCCTCTCCAGAGGCTGTTGGCTCTGCCTCGGGCAGCTCTGAGAGCCTCCGGGGTGGTGCCAGGGGTGTGCCCACTGGTGATGCCCTGATACCAGGATAAGATGCCAGCTCCTGTGCTTTGCCGCAGCAGTGGATGGTTGTGCTTGGAGATGAGCAGCAGGAGGGACAGGCGCTGTGTGCTTCTTGCTTGGCTGAGCCCTGCTTCTGGGCCAGAAGAACATCTGCTGACTCTACAGCCCAGGCCCTCCCTTCCCTCCTTCATGACTGTAAAAAACAGCCCATGGGTGTAGGCTGTGGGAGGGCCATGGCCCCAGCTCAGCCACCCTGGCAGGGGAGAAGTGATGAAGCAGCCACGATTTCCAAACCTGACCCTTCCATGCTCTGTTTCCCCCTAAGGAAGTTTGTGGTGTACGAGGTGCTGCGTGAGGACGAGTTCTCTCCCCTGAAGAACGCAGACAGCCAGAATGGCAAGGACAACCCCACCACAGCCCGACATGCCTTGATGTCCCTGCACCACTGCTGGGTTCTCAATGCAGGGGGGCACTTTGTGGACGAAAACGGCACACGCATCCCTGCCATCCCTCGGTGAGTTGCTGCTCCTGGCACTCCTGCATCCTTTTTTGGGCTGGATATAAGGCACGAGGCAGTCCCCAGCCCTTCTGCATTTCACTGCTCCTGATAACAGTGTCACTGAAGTAACCAGCTATGGGGCCTTTCTCCTGGATGGTCCATGGGGCAGAGCTGGATGCGGGCTGAGTGGTGGCCACAGGAGCAGTGCTTGCTCACTCAGCAGCAGTTTTCCTTCTTGATTCAGCACCTCTGAACCAAATCCTGCCGGACTCCCTTGCACAGCGAAGGTTGCCTCTGCAGGGAGGAGGTGGCTCCCTAAAGCCCAAGCACACCAGCAGATCCATGCAGCAGCCAGGCTGGAGTCAGGGCATCCCTTGACCACAGGACCCTCCCCACAACCCCTCTTTGGAGATCAAAGCCCAGACTTGTTCTGCTGTGTTTTTTCCCTGCCTCGCTAACCGTTGTCTATTCCCATGTAGCATCCCAAATGGAAGGTCCGCTGCCACGCCAGCAGATGTCAAAGACAAGTAACTATACCGTGCAGCTTGCATGGTGGCGGGGCTGTGCTTAGGAACTAATGGGCTGTAGGCCAGGCTGTGGGTGCGCGCTGGGACAGGTGCCCGCAGCCACTAACGGGGCTGGGGGGCTCTGGGCCGCATGCTGGGAGCGGGGCACGTCCCACAGCTCGTCCCCGTGGATGCTGCTTCTCATGGTGGCGGGCAGTAGGCAGTGTCTGCTCCCTCCTAGGCTCCTTTCCGCAGGGGCAGCCAGCGGGGGTGACTGGATGGGGCTTGTGCTGCTGGTGTGGATGCGGGGTGGCAGCAGCCTGATGCTGACTGCCCACGGCCCCCAAAGGACACCCCACAGGTGGGATGCTGTTGGGAAACATGCTGGCACGTCCCTTCAATGACACCCCCCTGTTAATCACACCATGGCACAGCACAGGCTGGACTGGTCCCGGCCGGTCCCAGTGCTGGAGATGGCTGCTGTCTCCCGATGTCCGCCAGGCGTCCAGGCAGATGGAAACGGGATTGAAAGCGTTGAGTTAACGTCAAGCAGGCTTTGATGTAGCATGTGTGAATCACAGCACAGCGGCCAGCTATGCTTTGGGTGACTTCAGCTCTTAAGGTTGGTACATCCAGACCATGACACCAGGAAAAGCCCCTGGCTCAGCGCCTGAAAGCTTACAGGAATACACGGGAGAGCTTTAACACTTCTGTTAACAGCAGCATGTTCTGTAGGCACGGGGCAGGTGGGGTGTCTGGGACTTGGTCTGCGAGTCATTCACCAGCTCTAAGCAAGCTTGTTACCTTCCCCCGCTTCAGAAGTTGTATCTTATAGTACTTTCTGGTGAGATATTCCTAGGATCTCTGTTTTAATTCCAGACTCCAAGTGTTTACAGGCTTATGACTGGGCCATCACACTAGTTATAACATAGGAAGAAGGATGCACTTTATCCTACATTTACTCTTCATTGCCAGTTGATGTCAATTCTTTTTTTTTTTTTTTAACAATTATCTGGAATCTGACTCCCAAGGCAAACACAAGTATGAGGGCTGGGTTAGGATGGGTGAGTTTTATTTACAGCTGGGACAGGAGGGGTGCTGAGTGAGTGCATGGCAGCAGGGATGAGCTTTAACCAAAGTGAAGGGAACATTGTCATGGATGACATCCTGCCACGCCTGCCTGGCTGTCATGGTGAGTGGCTGGGAAGAGGCACCCTGGGGTACTGCTGTGGCTCCTTGTTGGCTCCACGTGGATGCACCCCCTATCCAGACTTATACACCAGCTGGATCCGGGGACTATCTGGGAGGGGGTCCTACGAAGGCTAGTGACAGCAGGAGCAGCCTTGGGGCCCCCACACAGCCCCTGCCCAGCAGTGCTGCTGCAGTGGCCAGTACTGGTGTGTTCTGATGTTTTGCTCACCAGTGCCAGCGCACAGGCAGAACAAAGGAGCTGAAACAGTTGATCTAAGAGGCAAAGGCAGGAGGAGCAAACAGTGCTGCAGGGAGCATTTCTGAGTGAGCAGACAGGCTTACCCTCCGTCCTCAGATTGTGCTTTAAGCAGGAGAGGGCTGAAAGAAAGACCAGTTACAGCCAGCAAATGGGAAGGTGCTGTGTGAGTGCATCTGCCATCACCCCAAGGGTGCAGGAGGAGGAGGAGGAAGGAGTTTGCATGCAGCATCAAAAATAGTGGGGCTGGGGACACAGGCACTGCCGTAGTTGCACACATGGAAAGGCATCATGAAACCCACATCTAAAGCTCTCTTTCCTTTCAGTCGCTGCTGGTATCTAAACTTTCACTTGCACCTCTGTGGAGAGCACGCAAGGCTTGACTAACCCAGGGCAGCTCTGTGCTGGTGGCAGCTCTGTGCTGACCCCCCACCTGGCATCAGCAAGATCTTGGGCCCCGTCCATGTCCCCTGGTGGGATGTAACTAACTCTCCTGGCTTTTTCTCTGCAGCTTGAAGGATGCAAACGACCTGCCAATCCAGTGTGAAATTTCTCCCCTCGTGTCCTATGGAGGAGAAGTGAGTACTGACTCTCCAGAGCTGAAGAGGTCCTTGCAGATGGACTAGACGGGTGGAGGGGCTGGCAGGGCACACACGTGAGGGGATAAGCCATGGAAGTGAGACTTGAATTCACTGTGGGGCTTTTTGAGACAGTGTCCCCCAAGCTGCTAGCCCAGGAGGGGACCAGAGCCACCTGTGAGCAGCTCAGTGGGTCAGCAGAGCAGATGACGCGTGGTGTGTTCCTGATGAGCCACTTTGTCTTCCTGTAGGGTCTGGAAAAGTACGTGAAGGACCAAGAGTTTCGCGCACCTCTGATTATTGACGAGGATGGGATCCACGAGCTGGTGAAGAATGGGATGTAGTGGCAGCAGGGTGCCCAAGCAGGGCTGTCCATCCCACCAGGAACTCAGACACATGAAGGTTTATAGCTGTGACTGGTTGGGGCTGGTCCTGCTCACTCCAGCCCTGTGCAGGGGAGGATGTGGCCCACTTGGTTCTCAGCACGTTGTATGCTTCTATTTATATTTTAATTTAAAAACCAAACACTTTATGGATTCCCCTGCCAAGAAGCACAGCTATAGTGTGCTGCTCTTTGCACTCCAGGCTGTGGGCATTTATTTTTAAACATGTATATAGTAGTACTCATTGTACATGCAGAGAGAGGATTTTTATGGTACGGGGCTGGGATTAATCTTGAATTTTTATTTTTCTTAAATCTACATGACTATTTTTTTTTAATAGGGTCCTTGTCATTGCCCATGTCCCTCCTTTTGGTCATCCTTTCTACGTTGCACAACTGGAAGCACCCAATTAAACTCTGAGTCCCTCCTGTTTGTCATCTGGTGGTGTTTGAGTGACGATGACTTTCCACAGAGGCTCTGCTCATGGAGTAGAGAGCTGACTGTATCATACCACGTGCTCTGCCAGTGCAGCAAGGGTTGCTGCCTGGGGTGGCTGCAGGCAGGTCCTCTGGCCTGCAGTGCTTGTTTGGGGCATTTCTGGAGGAAGCTGTGAGTTGCACTTTCCTCTTGTAATCCTGCCGACAGGGGCAAGCCTTGAGCAGGTAGGAACAGGTGGGTGTGCTGGGCTGCCGGAGTGCTCAGGGTGAAGCCAGCCTGGCATGGAGCCCTCCAGCAGCGCTGTGTGCCCTCTGCTTTTCCTGAGAGGGCTCCTTCCACAGCACACTGCTGTGGAGTGTGGCATCCTGACGCCCCCGGGCAGAGCAGCTGTGCTGCCTCCTCTCCTGTTTGGGAAAAGAAGGAGCTTGGCCAGCTCCTCTCCTGATCCTGTCCCATCACAGCCCCGGTGTGGTTGGTCACTGCCTCCCACTGCCCCCTGGCTGCCTGGAGAGGGATTTTCCCTTGCAGGGCTGGGAATGGGACCCAAACCTCTCTCCCCCAGGGGAAGTCACCGAGTCCTGTGAGTGCTAAGGTGGCTGTTGGGCATCCTAGGCTCAGCCAAGCACTCAGTTTCCCAGGCAGTGTGCCTGGGAAGCCAGGGCCACGCGGGGGGTCCCGGCTGGCGCTGTGCCTGCTGGTGGCTCTGCGCTGGTTGTCTGGGCTGTGTGTGGCCGAGGCTTTGGCTTCTGGCTCTGCAGACCACCACCTTTGCGTTAGGTCCTGGGACAGAGCAGCGCAGCACTGGCTGCTGCCAAGTTATTTGAGTACTGATTCCAGGTAGCAGGAGGGGAGCGGAGCAGAGCGGAGCTGGCTGGCATTCCTGTGGGTGTGCACATAGGGCAGCCTGTGCTTCTCCCTGCCAGCTGATCTGGGGCAGCACAAGGGGGCACACTACAGAGCCCTGCAGCAGGCACTGCTCTCACCCGTTCCCTGCCTGCCCTCCCTGCCAGCCTGGAGGCAGCTGTGCCCTAACTCTGGGCACCCCTGGCTCAGCTGGCACTGCAGCCCCTCTGGTAGCAGTGGTGAGGGTCACCAGAATCTGCTGTGGGCAGTGGATGGCTCACCCTGCCTGTGACTCAGTTGGTCTGTCTGGAGAGCAGACAGGCTGGGAGTATGGTGAGGAGGTTGTGTTTAGGAGCAAGCCTGCAGCCTTGGAGCTGTGGGGTGTCCTGCAAGACAGGAGAGCTTTTTAGGGAGCTACTGGCCTGCTGCCAGGCGTGATGCTTCCCTCCCACAGTGTGGCAGTGGCATAAAATACAGCCAAAACACTAGTCTGAAAAAAAAAGTTGCTTTTCAATTTTTTTTTTAATTGTGGTTTTTGCTATTGCACAAAAATTAATGCGAGCCCTTTATTATTATTTTCTCCTTGCTGCGTTGCATAGTCAATGGCTGCAGTGCCAAGCTAGTGCCTGGAAATGATGTAAAACCGCCACCTCAGCGTGGAGCTCGGGGAGTTGGAGCGCCGATTCCATGCCGTGTGCCAGGCGGGTCGGCACTCCGGCCGGTGTCCTGGCCGTGCGTGCCCGCGCAGGAGTCTGATACCCTTCCCACCAGGGGCCCGGAGAGGGGTAGTCCATGTGGGTCCTTCTGGGACAGTGATGGGGTCTTATGGAGTGTCTCCACTGCCCACATTTTGGGGGTGTCCCCCGCGGACCCACGGTGCAGGAGGAGGGTCCTGGACACACGTGCCATCCTGCAGCCGCGGGGGCGAGTGCCGGAAAGCAAAACGCTGCCTATTGCTTTAAGTTCCCCTGCCGGCCACGCGGATCTTTTTATTTTTTCTCTTGCGCTATGAATGGGTTTTGCTGTAAATTATAGCTCTGCGCACATTCCCTCGGGCCGAGGAAAATAACCTCCGCCGAAAAGCCAGCCCGGATTGCTGACTGGCTCCCCCTCTCCGCTCCCTAATTGAAACCAAATGTGCAAGATGTAGGATTGTGGGATTTCTGGACGGCTCCCAGGAATCCGCAGAATGCAAAAACGCTCCCAGAGGCATCTTGCATCAGCCCGGGGAAGTTCGCTCCTCGCCTGGCTCCCCCGGCCCAGGCGAGGGGCGAGGAGCCCACCCGCCTGCCGCCGCCTCCCCGCTCCGGTGAGTTGCTCTTGGGTACGTGGAGAGGCTGGAGAGGCGTGTGCCCCTCGTAGGTTTGGGATTTTGGTGGGATGTGGGGCGAGCTGTGCTCTGCGGTGGAACCTCGGCAGAGGGTCTGGGGTGTGGGTCTACCTGGTAAGGGGCTGGGGCAGAAGCAGGGCGGTGTTTCCGCTTTGGGACATAACTTTTGGCCACTTCTCACCAGTTGTCCCCCCAGTGCCAGTGTTTCCCCCCGCGCTTCGTGCCGGGCCAGCATTTCCTGGTGTCCCTCCTCAGCTCCCGCCTATGTGTCTGTTGGCAGAGCCGGCGGCAGTGCTGGCCAGCCAGAGAGGCCCTGCTGTCCCCCAGCCAGGCACCAGGTCACACCAGGGAGGGGACACAGGACCACTGGTCTGGTACTTTTGAGCGTCGTGCCCCGTCCTGGTGCTGGGAACTCACTTGTGGCTTCCCAAGCCCGCGTCGTGTCGGAGCGATGCTGTGGACCCTGCGCTGTGGCGGGGCAGTGCTGTGCGCCGTGGCGCAGACCGTGGAGGAGGGCTGGAAGTTTTCGGCTGGCGGGGAGTGCTTGCTGCAGCAGCATCCACAGCGCCGTGTCCCCAGGCCCCCTGTCCATGGGCTGTGCTCCTGGCAGGTCTCCGTAGGGCAGCTGGCAGCCACGGGGATGTGCCGGTTGCTCCTCGCACCCTGGACGGCTGCGATGCCCCGGGCTGAGCCAGGCAGCCCGTGGCTGGAGAGGCGCTTGCTGCTGAAGAAAGTGGGGCTGCATCCAGCCCGGAGAAGGTCTAAAGTGTTATTTTTGGAAGGGAGGAGGACTACGGGTCCCGTCATGCTGTGCTGTGCTCCTGCCAAGGCTGTGCCGGTGGCACAGCATGCTGGGGGCTGTAGTGCCAGCTGGGGTGGGGATCCTGAACCCCCTTACCCACACACTGCATGTCTTGGGCCAGGGTCACAGACTGCTGCTCCAGGAAGGACATTCCTTACAGCATGGCCCTGGCATGTCCTGCCATCCCAGCAGGAGGGGAGCCTCAGCCCCATGCAAGGATGGGAAGTTGCAACGGGAGCCCTGGCAGTCCTGGGAGCCCCATGTCCAGGACCTGCTGCTATCCAGCCCCTCTCCATGGTTGATGCTCCTCCAGTGCCAGCATGGGCAGCAGTGCCCACCTGGGAAGCAAGCTGGGGATCTCACCAGCTGGCGTGGGTGGAGGGCAAGAGGAACCACAGGTCAGATGGGGTCTGTCTCTTAACAAATGTGGATTTACTTTTTCCCCTGGTAATTCTCCCTGGTTATTTCAGTAGTATAAGAAAGGAGGGAAATAAAAAGGGAAAACAAAACAAAAAAAAGCAGTGGCCAAGGGAAACTCAAAGCCCTGGCGATGCCAGGGAGGAGCTCCAAAAACTCTCTGTACTAAAAATTTCCAGTGATTGAAAATTTTCAGCAAACATTTTCTGTCAAAACGTTGCAAAGCCACCCCTTTTGCAGGGCTGGTGGAACAGAAATGATTTCCAGCTGGGTTGCCAGTACTACTGGGCCAGTTTGACCACGTGTCCCTGAGCCCCCAGCCTCAGCACCTGAGCCACTGTCTCCCCAGTGTCCCCCAGCCCCACTCCCCTGAGGAGCGACGACCACTTCCCAATGGTTACGTGGGGATGATTTCCCTATATTAGACTAAATGTAAATGCATTCCCTGCAGGAGATTGCAGCATCTGGTCTCCTGATGCTTAAAGAGTTTACTCAGCCTGAAAGAATAGTGGGGAAAAAAATATCTCTGGATATTTTTTGGAATGCAGAAGGAAATTGAGATTTTAATTTTGGGGGAACTGGCCATCATCAAACACAGGAGCCTCCTGCGTACCTCTCGGCAATGCAGCTGAAATTCCCAGTTGCAGCTGAGTTAGTTGCAACTAGCTAAAATTTACCAGCTGAAAAAAAAGCAACAACATATTATTCTTTAAAAAAAAAAATTTAAAAAAAAATGAAAAAAGGGGAAGAATCACTCCAAGTGCAGGTATTTATTTGTGCCTACTGCAGAGCTCGTGGTGTTTAGCAGAGTCCCCCAGGAATCCAGCAGTATGCTGTGGGGTGCAAAGAGCCTCTAGTAGGATGCAGGTGGCAGCTTCTGGGGTTTTACACTCCCCTTGGGTGCTGGCATGGTCTCAGCAAACCCCTGTCTTGCTCCTGCTCTGCCAAACCCTGGCTTTGGCAGTTACCAGGGAATCATATCCAGCACCTCCCAGCTGTACTTTGTGGGATAAAGGCATCTGATGTGTGGCAGATGGTTTGGGTTGGGTTTAGGTTTTTCTTGGTGGTGGGGACAAGGTTGTGGGGACAAGGTTGTGGGGCGGATGCAAGAACACAACCAAGCACCCACCTGCGGGATCACTGGTGCTGGGCTGGCCTTGAGGATGTGCCAGCCCAGCCCAGACATTGCTGTTGCAGTAGGCTCGGGTGGGATTTATCCCAGCAGCCAGGTCCCACTTGGCCAGGAGCTATGGTCCCTTTAACCCTCAGGTTAGTAAGTTGTTCTCTAAAGTTTAACGTGCATGTAAATTAGATTAAAATAGCCTTGTTTAATAAAAAGAAGACTAATCTGCATCTGGTGCTTCTGTGAAATGCCCTCTTGGCAAATAAGAGGAGGGGCAGAAGCCCAGGAAGCCTAGGGCAGGGCTGGTGGCATATAGGGGTGTCCCTGGTGCATCCCCTGGTGTGGTGCCAAGCCCCGTGGTGGTTCCCCGGAGGTGTGTGGGTGCAGTGGGAGCTTCTCGGGCTCTGGGGACTCCTGGCAGCTGGCCAGAGCCAGGTTGATGACTGTGGTGAAAGCACTGACACAAAGGCAGGCACGTCCTGGG